GAGAGAGAGAGAGAGAGAGAGAGAGAGAGAGAGAGAGAGCTGATCTCCCGGTTTCATCGCGAACACCCGCTCAGCAGCGCGCAAGTCACGCTCGTTTATGGTGCAGCGTCTTTTCATTTTCGATCGATGGATTGTGCGCGCACGCCAAGGGAACGAGATTATGCAACAGGTGACGGAAGCTGCGCTGGAGTGTGCCGTTTGTCCTCCCTGCGTGACGGTGCGCGCGGATACAGGTCGCTAAACGCGAGTAAAGAGCAAGGCTTTTAACAAGCGCGCCGTTAAAGCTCCGCAATACGCACATCCATCACGTCAAGATTATGACGTCAGGAGCACGGTGGCGAAATCCACCCGCGAGCCATTCTCGCGCCTCACGTGCGCGCAGAAATGGTTTTTCGTTAACGGAACCGGTTTAGTTCCATAAAACGGATTCGTAGCGTGCGCCAGAAATGCCGTAGCCAGTCCGCTATATCGCGTGGAATTATTTCCAACGGCGAATGTTCGGTGCTCATAGCTCTCGCGATCCGATCAGCTCTTGAATAACATTATCGTTCCCCGAGTCGAAATTTTCGTTCTACATCGACCCTGCTAATTCCCTCGAACTTGAAGGGTCGATGGAGAATCTTGAGATATTAGGAGGCCCATATGTGTAATCGAGTATTTCAAAACACATTTGACAGTCTACAGATAAAGCTTTCATTGTTTAGCCCATGGAGATAAGAAATAACAGGAGGGAGTGTAAAGCTTTTTAGGTAGTGAGGGTAAGTATGCTATGTGATTGGTTGGCCACAGTAATATGGCGTTTTGTATTTTATTGTCGCGCTTTGATAAACCACATCAATATGGCGCATATTGTTCCCCTCTTACGTCTGTTTAGACAGGCCAAGGGGAAATATCCTTCTTCTTGTTATTTCTTATCTCCATGGTTTAGTCAACGATATAATGATTTGAATATCTTACTACAACAACATTAGGAGAAAAAAACTGTTTATATATCACGCAGTATCTCAATTGCTATTCAACCTTGCTAGTTTAAGCAGTGCTATCTAAAGCTGCTACTCAATAGCTTACTATGTTAAGTAGAGACTGATAAGAATAAAAATCTTGTAAATACTTGATTATCTACATGGGAATCCCCAATATAATGTTATATAAGCTGTTGTCCTACCTGGATGCTGCAAATAATTGCACACTGCCTTTTTCTCAATGTTGAAGAAGCTTGAAGAAGCACTTGTTCAAGAATTATTTCATATTTATTTAATTATGTAATATTTATTTAACCAATTATGCAATATTATATAGCATTATATAATTATTTAATTATATAATATTTTTATTTACTTGTCTTAATTAATAATGTTTATTTAATCTCTTCAATGATGATTTAAAATGATTGTGCGATTTTCCCCACAGGATGAGTTTCTTTTTTTAAAATAAACATAGATCTAGATTTTCTCTTTATACTGCTGTTTTCTTTAAAGAATTTTGAAAAATAAAATACAAAATATATCTAATTTTTTTTGTATTTGCTTATATTTATTATAATTTGTGAATTGTCCGAATATTCTATTTGCATTAAATTTTTGTTCAATTATCAGTAATATTTATTAATTATATAACATACTCAGTTATAGAAGTCGAATATATGAGGTAAGAAAATATTAAATGATCAAATAAGATATGATGGAAAAGTACGTAAAAAACAATATCAAATAAATATTAATTCTCATCTCTTCCTTATTTATTTTTCTTTTTGTTTTTAGCGTTGGAAGTTTCAATGAGAATTATAGTTCTTAAAAGAACTGATAAGAAGCTGTAAAGGCAAAGATAATTATGTGCCTAATAATGCTGTTTACTGATAGAAATTTTAATTTAATTTACAACAATAATAAGGATAAACAAAAACGCAAACAAGGCGTGAGTAAATTCAAAATGGGATTTACAACCTAATAAGCATTATTAGATAAACAGAACAATCAGCAATATAAAACTTACATTAAATTCTAATGCCGGTATTCATAGTTGTGAATTATTTACAATCTTTGATTGTGAGAACATGATTAGCTACAGATTCATATTCATGAACCATTTTACTCGACTGTTTAGATCAATATATTTCTTGTATAAAATAAAACAAGCATACAAATTGATGAATAATGGTTTCATGAAGCTATAATTGCTTGTCAAATTCAAATTGTCAAATGATGATGGACTATGAATACCGGGCTAAATTTCGACTCGGGTATCTCTTTACTCTTGATAAATCCGTCGAAAACGATCGTTATAAAAATAGAAATTATTCAACATACCCTGAAATATGTCGCTGTATCGCTGCTTATACGTCCAGATGTCCTGCGTCCTCCATCCTGACTTCCCAATCCAGCATGGCTGCTCTATCTTGACACTGACACTGACACTCGCGTTGGTATTACGCAATTCGGTCGACGAAACACGTTATAATTAATGCGACGCCGACGTCAGCTCGATTAAATGTTTAAGAGCCGACGATATATTTCAGTCAACCGACGGAAATGATAAATAATACAACGACCACGTGCTCCGCAGTATGTATAATGCTCGCCGACTCGGAACGTAATGGAAAAACTTGGGAAAACGCGTGACGCACGAGAGTATGTTCGACCTGCTCGAAGGTCCGGAATGTTTTGATTGTTGTGACTCGGCCTTCAGTTACGAGAGACGACAGTTGACGCTTGATGAGTGGAGATATGTTTACATTTCTTGCCTATTGTTTTGGTACTGTTGCGCGATGTGCACTTTCCCATTGCCGCGCGAGTGTTACATTATATTTTATGCGGAAGATATTTCGTCGACTCCTCTAAAATACTTAATCTAATACTCCTGCCTACATCTCGTTAATCAACATGTATTCTTTATTTCGTTGTAAAGACGGAATCTTTGTTATCTTTGTCTTTTTTCTCTTATCAGTTCTTTTAACATTTAGACTGCTGGGAAAGCCACTTTTGTGGCTATAAAGCCACTTTTGTGACTTTCCCGGCAGTCTAAAGGTTAAAAGTTACAATTGTCATCAAAACTTCCAACGCTGAAAAAAGAAAAATAGAAGAGATGAGAATTAAAGATATTGTTTTTTACCTACTTTTTTAAGAAACGTTATTTGATTATTTAGCATTTCCTTATTTCACGTACTTGACTTTTATAGCTGAGTATATTATATAATTAATATATATTGCTGACAATTGAACGAATTAAGAAGACAAATTTAATGGATAGAATATTTGGATAATTCATAATAAATAAATATTATAATGAAATAAATATTACATTTAAGCTCTCAAGTGATATACAGAGAACAGTTTCGTAATAAAATATTAAATTTCTTTGATTTATATATTTAAACTATTGCGTTTCTTTTATTCTTTTTAAACAGATTTTTTAAATCATGTTATATCAATAGAAGAATGCTGCATCGAAATCCCGGGACGCAAACAACATAAAATCATATATTTTCAGATATGCTAATATATATTCAATATTCCCAACGAAAAAGATAACAATAAAGAGATCATAAAGAGACAGAATTTGTTTTACTTATCCATTAATTATATTTGTTTGTAAATGTTTATTAAATCATTTAATGAATTTAATAATATTTAATTAATTTAATTAATTTTATTTAATAACATTTAATTAATTTAATTAAACAAATTTAATATTTATTAATTATATTAAATAGCAGTTAAAATAAATTATTCTATCACGTTATTATTATTATTATTATCACGTAAAAATTCTATCTGCATTTGAGACACATAATTACTTACATTGTTTATTGAGATTAACAAAAAAAGTAAATGCATACTTGAGAGAATTAAATATTAAATAATTCTAAAATAAAAATATTTTATATTAAGGATAATTTAACATAGAGAAAATGACATAAAATAATTATTTGTAACATCAAGGTAGAACAATAGTCTACATAATATCTTCCAAGTTCGATAAAATTTGCGGGGTTAATAATATCGCCTCGAGTTTTCACGTTACATATCGGGGGTTGGTCAAGAGTCTAATGTCTTATCGATTTTTGCTAAATATTAAGGGGATAAAATAACAAAATTGTACTTGTAGCAAAACAGTGGCGTGACGTACACAAATAAGAGTCTTCGAATGCGACGGGATTCAACTGTTTTATATTTTGTTTTAAGTCTATCCGTAGTCGGTAAAACGGTGCTATCGTTGACGGCGGATGGCAATGGAATGTATTGTTTCCGAAGTATATCAATTTTGTTTCCACTTCGGGTAGAAAAATATTCGCTGCGCTATTATGCGACACTGTCTCGATGGAAAAGGAAATATCTCTGAGCTAGATGAACGTAACAATAAGCGTTTTTTACACGATATAACTTGATATCACTTTTCCTCGACAAGATTTCAGATCGAAACTGAAACTGCGCTTTACTCAGTCGATAATTATTAGAACTTTAAACTGTTACTAACAACTACTAACAATTACTAACAACTGTTACTAACTTGAAAACAATCGCGGTTAGCGAACAATATATTGTCGCAATAATTCCAAAGATTTTTCCTTAAAAATCCCTCGAGAGAGTGCAGGAAAATTTTACTTTCCCGCAAAAAAATATAATTATGAAAGGATATTTGGCCGTAGTTATGCAAGAATAATCCAACCCACAAAATTGTGGCTTTTTCATTTTTTATTTACAATGGCTAGTCTATATATCTATCTACTTAAAACAGAAAAGATGTAAGCCTTATGGATACCTAAAATTAATTAAAAAGCAGTTTTTATTTTCTACTAGTTGCTAGTCATTTTTACTAATTGTGTCTTATTTATCAATTTTTTTAAAATTAAGCCTGTCAATAAGTACAATTAAAGAGAAAAAAATTGACAATGCTTAATTCCTTCCAACGATTGTGAAGAGAGAGAATCTTAATGTTATTTATATTTTCTGAATTATGTATTAAATCTTTATATTCATTTTTCTCGAAATATACTCCATGTGGATTGAATTATACTTGCATAACTAACTATTTAATAAGATCATATTAAAAAAGTGATAAATAATATCTCTCTCCTTCTCTCTCTTCAAACTTTGTTCATTAGGGAACAAAGTCGACTTTGAAAATTCGTCGAAAATTCATATTTCAGAGATATATAATTATGGAATAGATTTGGTGTCTTATATTAAAAAAGGAACTAATAAATAGTGTGTCCCTTGAAACTTTGTTCATCAAGGAGCCAAGTCGACTGTAAATTCACCGTGAAGTCGCCGGTTCTTGAAATGAAGTCGGCGTTTCTCGAGCACCCTGTACACGTACAGTGCGTTGGCTCCTCCGCCGCCTGCTTTACGCAGCTTGCAGTCGCATTGCTTTACGCGACCGTACGTACAAAGCGCGATGTTTCCCCGTGGATGACAATTTTCTCTCTCCCGGGGAGAACCGCCTGTTTTACGACGGCCATTTGAGTTTGTATCCCGCTGTCCGTCGACGACAATTTATTGCCGCTGTTCCGCGCGGCTTTACAACTCCTCCGTTTCCTACGAGCGCTCTTTCACTCTCATTCCAGATATATCAGCCCGTATTGATTATGCTAGTAGTAGTCTAAGCGACGTGTTAGTATCGATCGGCGATAGGTGTGGGCGGAACGCGCACGTTCCAGTTTTCTCGACCCGAATTGCTCGATTTCCTATTGCCCGTTTGAATTTCACGGCGAATTTTTGCGGTGCCCATTACCGTCGTCTCGATCACGACTGACGGTCGAAAAAGATGACATGCTCGTTGGAGTACGACCGGAAATTTGGAAGTATCCGAGGTTGTCACGTTGGACATATTTTCTTATCTTTTTTTTTAAACTATTAACCTAAGACGATTTGATAAGATCTTTGCTTGATTTTCTTAACGATCAAATTTGAATTTTGTATGACATCTATTTTTCAAGATTCTTTATTTCGTATGTCACACGAAAAAAAATATGTGGTTGAATTAACCAAATATCTGGTCGAATATGAATGATCCAGAAATTCCGATTGAAGTAATCCGAATTCTGCTTAAGTTAACAAGATTTTTAGTAGACTAACCAAACATGTCTGATTATATTTTAATTAAACATGTCTGGTTAAATAACCAGACCTGTTTGGTTAGTCTGCCAAAAATCTTGTTAACTTAAACAGAATTCGGGTTACTTCAGTCGGAATTTCTGGATCGCTCATATTTGACCAGATATATGGTTAATTCAACCAAATCTTTTTTCCGTGCATGTTTTGATATATTTCAGATATTAAAATTAAAAATATCACATTAGATACTGAATATTTAATATGCGACCGTATTTTGTTTTCTTATGCACGCAGAAAATATTGTAATATAGAATTACTAAAACAATTTTTTTGTAATTCTCGAACATACAGAGAAAATTCTATCGTTTAGAAAAACAATTATTTAATTGACTTCCCTTCTGTAAAGTAAAGGATATTTTCAACAAGGATATTTTTACCAAGAATATTTTCTTGGTAAAAAATAATATTTAAAATATGTTTATTACAAATTTGAGAAAAGCTCATTACCATACATTTATAAATTTATTTTCTTTACAAGAGTATCATAAAATTTTATAAATCTAAGAAAAAGTTAGTTCGACTCTATGCAGTAAGCAAACCGATTTTTGTTTCAATTTAATACTCTTGATTGAAATGATAAATTTACTAAGATTCAGAATATATATTTTGACAAAATTTAATGTTTATGATGATCTTATGATAGATTTGTGGATATATAAATTGTTTAAAAGTGTTTTAAAAGTGTTTTGCAAAAGTGTTTGACTTTTCATTATAAAATTATTGTAATTGTTTGAATATTTTTTATATCGTATACTAAGTACATATTTTTTTGTCAAATTTACTACTCAGATTTACAAAAAACATTATAAGGAGAAACATAATTTTGTCGTAATTTTTACTACAATATTTTCTCTGTGTATATAATTAAATAAAAAAGAAAAATAATTTTTTAAAATAATTTTTTTATATTAATAATTCGCATTTTTTTATATTAATAATTCGCATTTTTTTTAGTCATATTTCAATCAGTATCGATGATAAGAATTGTTGAAATTTTTCGCGGCTATAATTTTGTATCGATGATCAACGCAACATATACGGTAATTTTTTAAAGTTTTTACTTTTTAAGATTTAGTAGGTATCATATAACGATCTAATATTACACATCGATCATTCATCAGATACTATCATATTGCACACACGATGAACAACGGAAATTAATAATTCAACTTTCCTACAAACGTGACACGACCGTTCTACTCGTGCTATGCTTTTAAGCGCTTGTGTTGATATTTATTTGGCGGATTCGTAGAACATCTATCTATTTAAGTCCACATTCGGAAGAAACAAAAGTATATTTTGTTACTCGATGTTGTAGTTTTCAATTTTGTGCTCTCTACTCACAAAAATTATTTTTAGAGAATATTTTTCTTTGTTGAATCATATAGAATACATTGATGCAAATAACTTATTCTAACGCTGCGTAATTTTATTTTAAGATTTATGTGTCAAAAATAAAGAATATTATAAAAATATTTTCTATACCCAAATCAAAATAGTTTGTTATTGTAGTTAAGTATCTGTATAAAAATATCTGTACGACAGTTTATGATATTTTATAATATCTATTCTAAATTTATACATTTAGAGGCATAATGGGATTATATTACAATATTAAATTAACCTAATAAATATAAAAATATTAAGTTATATTATTTATATTTTTATATATGATTTTTAAATATAATTTTTATATATTTTAGAAGTACATTACCAAAGATTGCTACAAATAT